GTTGTGGCGGAGCCGCGGGGGCGGGAGGAGGAGGAGGAGGAGGCGCTTTGTTCCTCCCGGTACCGGGGATCGCCACCGGCTCCCCCCCGCCCGTGCATGGGGGGGCCGGGATCTCCCCCTCCGCCGCGCGGATCCGTCGGTGCACCGGGAACCCCCCCCACGGTACAGGCGACGGGAACGGCGGGGATTCGGGTGGCCCTGGGGACCCCCGAGATGGGCGGGCAGCGCCGTGGGGACCCCGGGGTGGCACCGCCGTGGACCCCCCCCCCGGCCGGGGCCGCGCACCCCAGGCCCCTCAGGGCATCCCCGGTGACCAGCGCCGAACTTGGGCACCGCGGGGACACCGGCCTGCCTGTTGTACCCTGAGGGTGCCTGTCCCCGCTGTGGGGACCCCGGCCCTGCCCAGGGCACCCCAGCTTTGCCCATGGCACCCCAGCTTTGCCCGTGGGTCCCCGATGGTGCCCAGGGCGCCCCGACCACGGCCGTGGCCTGTGGCACCCTCGCTGTGCTTTTGTCCGTGTCGCCGTGCCTGTTGCACCCCGGCTGTGCCTGTTGAACCCCAGCCGTGCCCACGGCAGCTTGGCTATTCCTAGGGCACCCCAGATTGGCCTGTGGCACCCCGACTGTGCCCACCGCACCCCGACAGTGCCCAGGGCACCCCAGATTGACCTGTGGCACCCCGACTGTGCCCACCGCACCCCAGCTGTGCCCACCGCACCCCAGATTTATCTGTTGTGCCCCGATTGTGCTTGTCGCTCCCCATTTTTGCTCGTGGCACCCCGATTTTGCCCGTGGCACTCCAGCTGTGCCCATGGTACCCTGGTCAGGCCCGTGACACCCCTTGTTTGCCTGTGGGACCCCGACTCTCCCTGTGACACCCCAGATGTGTGTCTGGCACTCCAGCTGTGCCCGTGACACCCCAGATGTTCCTGTGACACCCCAGATGTGTCTCTGGCACTCCAGCTGTGCCCATGGCACCCCAGATGTTCCTGTGACACCCTAAATGTGTCTCTGGCACCCCAGCTGTGCCCGTGGCACCCCAGATGTTCCTGTGACACCCCAGCTGTGGCCCTGGCACCCCAGATGTTCCCATGGCCCGTGCCACCTCAGCTGTGCCCCTTACACCCCAGATGTGCCGCTGACACCCCAGCTATGCCTTTGGCACCCCGACTGTGCCCTTACACCCCAGCTGTGGCCGTGACACCGTCACCTCCCGCCCAAGGAAGTCCGGCCGGGGTGTCCCCCATTCCCACGCCCGTTCCCGGCCCCCCACCCTCCCGGAAATCCTTCCCGAGCCGTCACTGGGGGCCCCCCCGAACCCCCCCAACTTCCTGCTTCCCGCCGGGCAGGACAGAACAATTCCCGGCCGCATCCTGCCCGGCCCGGGGCAGAGCGGGGGGGGCACGGCGAGGGCACCCCCGGGGCACCGGGGGGTCCCGGGCAGGACGTGGTGGCGGGGGGGATGGGAAGCGGCCGGGCCGCGTTTCCTGCTCCGTGGGTTCCCCCCGGTGGGGAGGGGCCGGGGGGGGAGGTTCGGGGTGTCCCCCGGGGCGTGGGGTGCCCCCGGCCTCGTGACAGCGCTGCCTCAATGCCGCCTTGTCCCCGCGCCGCCCGCGTGACGCCGCCGCTGCCCCGTAGCACTGACGGGGCCCCGGCCTGGCCGTGTCCCCCCCCAGGGACCCCGCCGTGTCCCCCCCGCCCCGGCGCCATGGCCCCCCGCCGGCCGCTGGCCCTCGCCGCGCTGCTGCTGCTGCTGCTGCTGGCCCTCGTCACCGCCGGTGCCACGCCGGGGGCATCGTGGAGTGCTGTGCCCAGGAGGACTGTCCCCTACGCGGGTGAGTGTCAGAGGGGCTCGGGGACAGGGTGGCGCTGCTTGTGTCCCGTGTCGAGGTGGTGGCTGTTGGCACTGCCTCGGGTGGCTTTTGTCCCACCCCAGAGTTTTTCAGCGCTATGGGGTGGGTGAGTGTCCCCAAAACTGGGGTCTGTAGGGACACTGGGGGACACGTGGGGATGCTGCTCTGTGTCCCCAGTCCTGTGCCAGTGCCTGGGGGCCCCTGCCCTGTGCTGGCTGTGTCCTTTGTCCAATCCCTACGCCATGTCCTCTGTCCCCATCCCTGTGCTGTGTCCCCTGTCCCATCCCCGTGCGCTGTCCCCATCCCTGTGCTGTCTCCCCGTCCCCGTGCTCTGTTCCTGTCCTATCCCTGTACCCTGTCCCCATCCCTGTGTCATGTCCCCTGTCCCCATTCCTGTCCCGCGTCCCCTGCCCATCCCTGTGCCATGTCCGCTGTCCCATCCCAGTGTCCTGTCCCCATCCCAGTGTCCTGTCCCCATCCCAGTGCCCTGTCCCCATCCCCCCACCAGTTCCTTTGTCCTATCCCTCCTCCATGTCCCCTGTGCCCACGCCCTGCCACCATCCCGTCCCATCCGTCTGCCATGTCCCTTGTCCCATCCCTCTGCCGTTTCCTGTCCCCACGCCCTGCCATCATCCTGTCCCATCCCTCGGCCATGTCCTGTGTCCCCATCCCTTTGCCATGTCCCCCTGCCCTGCCAGCACCCCGAGATTCCGTCCTCGTCCCAGCCAGCAGCCCCTGTCCCTGCTCTGTGCTGTCACCCTGTGTCCCCGAGCCGTGCCAGCTCCAACATCCCTGTCCCCGTGCCATGCCCTGTGTCCCCATTCTCCTGTCCCCATGTGGTGGCACTGCCCCCTGTCCTCTATCCCTGACCCGTGCCATGTCCCCTGTCCCCATGCCAGACCTCACCCCTCTGCTATGCCACTGTCCCGTGCCTGAGACTTTGGTCCCTTTGCTGTGCCACTGTCCCCATGCTGTCCTCATGTCCCCACACCTGGAACCATCATCCCCGTGCCTGTGCAGTGTCCCTTGTCCCCATACCCAGAACCCCACCCCTGTGCCATGCCACTGTCCCTGTGCAGTGTCCCTTGTCCCCACACCCGGGACCCCACCCTCAGCCGTGCCACTGTCCCCGTGCCGCCCCCGTGCCGTGCCAGCCCCGTGTCCCTGTCCCCGCCCGGGGGCCCTGGCGCTGTCCTGTCAATGGCTCCTTTCTGCAGTGGCCGGGGGGCGTGGGGGGGGCGCGGGGGGGCCACGGGGTCCCTGCAAAGGCCACTGTGTTTAACGGCACTGCCGGGGACAAAGAGACCTTTGTGTGCCTCGGGGCCGGGGGGGTCCGGCGGGGGCGGGGGTTGCGTGAGGGTCCCTGTCCTGGGTCCCCGTGGCCCTGCAGAGATGTGGGTGGGGGTCCCAGCTCAGTGTCCCTGTTCCCATAGAGCTGTGGGTGGGGGTCCCCGCGGGGTGTCCCCTCAGAGCTGCATGGGGGTCCCAGCGCAGTGTCCCCTGTCCCCACAGAGCTGTGGATGGGATCTGGCAGGGGTGAGGGTGCTGTGGGGTCCCCGCGGGGTGTCCCCACAGAGCTGTGGTGTCCCAGCGCTGTGTCCCCTGTCCCCACAGAGCTGTGGATGGGATCTGGCAGGGGTGAGGGTGCTGTGGGGTCCCAGCCAGGTGTCCCCACAGAGCTGTGGTGTCCCAGCGCAGTGTCCCCTGTCCCCACAGAGCTGTGGGTGGGATCTGGCCAGGGTGAGGGTTCAATAGGGTCTCAGCTCAGTGTCCCAGCCCATTGTCCCTGTCCCCACAGAGCTGTGGCTGGGATCTGGGAGGGGTTATGGGGTGCTGTGGGTACAGAGCTGTGGCTGGGATCCGGCAGGGGTTGTGGGGCGCTGTGGGTGTCCCCACAGAGGTGTGGGTGGGATCTGGCAGGGGTTGTGGGGAGCTGTGGGTGTCCCCTCACAGCGGTGGTGTCCCATCCCATTGTCCCTGTCCCCACAGAGCTGCGGGACACGGCCAAGCGCTTCTCTCAGGGCGGGGTCTCTCACTACCTGACGCTGACGCTGGACGAGGCCGAGGGGCTGCTCTACGTGGGTGCCCGTGAGGCCGTGTTCGCCCTGGCCACCGGCACCGTGGAGCTCAAGGCGGCGGTGAGCACCCCGGGGCACCCCAAAACCGGGGGGGATTTGGGGTGGGGGTGACATCCCAGCCCCTGACCCCTCTGCCACCCCCAGATCTCGTGGGAGGCGCCCGTGGAGAAGAAAGCGGAGTGCGTGCAGAAGGGCAAGAACAACCAGGTGGGCACAGGGGTGCTGGGGGGTTTGGGGCACTGTGCCAGCTCCAGTGCCCCTGTCCCTGTGCCCTGTGTCCCTGTGCTGTGCCAGCTCCAGTGTCCCTGTCCCTGTGTCCCCGAGCTGTGCCAGCTCCACTGTCCCTGTGTCCCTGTGCTGTGCCAGCTCCAGTGGCCCTGTCCCTGTGCCCTGTGTCCCTGTGCTGTGCCAGCTCCACTGTCCCTGTCCCTGTGTCCCTGTGCTGTGCCAGCTCCACTGTCCCTGTCCCTGTGTCCCAGTGCTGTGCCAGCTCCAGTGGCCCTGTCCCTGTGTCCCCGAGCTGTGCCAGCTCCAGTGGCCCCATCCCTGTGCCCTGTGTTCCAGTGTTGTGCCAGCTCCAGTGTCCCTGTCCCTGTGTCCCTGTCCCCGTTCCATGCCCTGTGTCCCCGTGCTGTGCCAGCTCCAGTATCCCCGTCCCTGTGTCGCTGTGCTGTGCCGGTTCCAGTGTCCCTGCGTCCCTGTCCGTGCCCTGTGTCCCCATGCCATGCCCATTCTCCTGTCCCCATGTGGTGGCACTGCCCCCTGTCCCGTGCCATGTCCCCTGTCCTCATGCCCTCTGCATTGCCACTGCCCCCGTGCCTGCAATTTTGGTCCCTTTGCTGTGCCACTGTCCCCATGCTGTCCTCATGTCCCCACAGCTGGAACTGTCATCCCCATGCCTGTGCAGTGTCCCTTGTCCCCACTCCTTTACTGTGTCATTGTCCCTGTGTTGTCCCTGTGCAGTGTCCCTTGTCCCCATACCCAGGTCCCCCACCCCTGTGCCATTCCATTGTCTCTGTGCCGTGTCCCTTGTCCCCACACCCAGGACCCCCACCCCTTTACCCCACTGTCCCTGTACTGGATCCCTTGTCCCCACCCAGACCCCCCTGGCTGTGTTGTCACCCCTTTAATGTCCCCTGTGTCCCCTCCCAGACCGACTGCTTCAACTACGTGCGCTTCCTGCAGAGCTACAACAGCTCCCACCTCTATGCCTGTGGCACCTACGCCTTCCAGCCCAAGTGCACCTACATCGTGAGTGGGGGGCCCAAAACACGGGGGCCCCCAATTCCCCCTGCCCTCCCCTGGCCATCAGGCCCTGCCAGGTGGCCCTGTCCCCAGGGGTGGCATTTAGAGGTGCCCAAGGGTGGTTTTGTCTTGTCAGGGCAGCGTGGGGATGTCTCCTGTGTACTTGAGGCATCCCAGATGGGTCATCTTGGAGGGGTCCCTGTCTCCAGGGTGGTCCAGGGGTGTCTCTGTGTCCCAGAGGGTCATGGATGGATGTCCTTGTCCTCATAGAAGTGTCCCTG